CCCCCCTCCCCCAAAAATATATCACGAACAATATGACTAACTGCACAGAACAATTCACAAAAAACGGTATGCTGATTGGCAATCCGCTGGGTGACTCAAACAATCATTGGCATGGCAACAGCAGGACAGTATTTTTTTGTGTGAATTTGTTTCCACTCAACTATGGTGTAAGTTGAACAGTCTAGATCAGAGTCGTTCCAAGTAAGAAAAAAGTTACATGTACAGAGAAACCGGAAGGTTGGGCCACAAATTAATTTATGACTTGCTGGTTAGACTTGACTTGAACATTCATTGAACTAAAGACGGACGACGGACAGATAGGCGGGCGGGCGGATGGATGAATAGATGATGGATTGATGGGCGGGCAGACGGACTGACAAACGAACGTGAGGGTGGGCGACACATGTTGAGACATCGGTGACAAATTAATTGGATGGCACATATAACACTTGGGTAGATTGGATTACACTATATACACTTGGGCAATGCAGATATTACTTCAGTGATATCGGGATTCGGTAAATACATGTCAAACAACAACATCTTTTAAATAAAATAAAATGCTGTGTGTTGAAAAGTATTTATTTCCCTTGGATTGATTAATCATTCAGATTGATAACTCCGGGTGATGAGTAGTTAGTTGATGCATAAATTGATTGTCATGATGACAAAATTTAAGATATGATTTTCTTCATTTCCAGATGTCTGACTTCTTAACTAGTCACTCTGACGTCAACAGTCGTAAAATGCTATCACGTGTGACTGAACACGGAAAGATGAACATCGATTGGTTACAGAAATACAGTACAAAGGTTAATGATTGGCTGAACGAAAAAGTTGATTTGAATAAACCACCTGGCATAATAGAAACATAGTAACAGGTCGAAGTAAAGAACCAATACAATGACATGGCTGAGATGATCTGACTCGGATGGCAGATGTAGTGACTGGCTAGTTAATATAGTTTGTGTATTATTATTTAGAAATTTATTCTTGATCGTTTTTAACAACTGTTTTGCATTTTGCAAATACTTCTTTTCCAAGACTGTTTATAGAAGTAATCAATTCAGTATTTCTATTAAATAGTTTGTTATTGGAAATTGCAATTTTAATTTTGGGAATGTTTTGAAATGTTTACACCCAATTGTTGTTTGCATTATTGTTTATTTCCTTGATATTTTTTATGTATATTTATTACGCAGTCCTACATAATAAAACCAATCTGTGAGTCGTAGTAATGTTTCGAAGTAGTTAATCACATCTGCCATCTTGTCCAAGTAGTTCATCACTATTGCCATTTTGTCTAAGTAGTTTATCACATCTGCCATCTTGTCTAAGTAGTTCATCACTACTGCCATTTTGTCTAAGTAGTTTATCACATCTGCCATCTTGTCTAAGTAGTTTATCACATCTGCCATCTTGTCCAAGTAGTTCATCACTACTGCCATTTTGTCTAAGTAGTTTATCACATCTGCCATCTTGTCTAAGTAGTTCATCACTACTGCCATTTTGTCAAGTAGTTCATCACTCTGCCATCTTGTCTA